CGTCTTGACTGGGCTCTTGAAGTTGCTGGCGGCTTGTAGCTGCAGCTGGTAGGCCATCGGGTGGATCTTGAAACCATAGAGCCTGGGTGGGGCAGAGGCCCGAGAAGCAGAAGGGTGAGTGGCCGGCATTCTTGCCACCCCACCCTCCTCCCACCGCCACCATGAGCACCAGTGCTCCTGGGCAGGAGTTCCTGTTCTTTCCAATACTTGTTTGGTGATGAGTTTTAAACATCAACTTAAACTCAAATTCTTGGACAGACTTAGCAGATCTTGTTTTCATATAAGCCTCAGCCAATTTTTTCTAGAACCAGAAGAAAATGGAAGCCCCAAGACAAAGAAATCCCATTTAACCTGGTAACAGGCTGAGCCCCCAAGACAGTGATGAAAACCGAATCCCAAACTACTTGTCCTTGTGTTGACCCCAGTGGAGGAAGGGGCTTCTCTGGGGACGCAGCTCGTGGTGTTTCTTCCCAGGCACCTCTGGATGGGTTCCAACCGCCACCCTTTGGGTTCTGGCTGGGGCTATGAGCGCATGCACCCGCCCAAGGCTCCAGGGGTGGCAACAGTGACCACTTAAAGGCTGTGCCGACTCGCTCGGCACTGCTCAGCAATTTCCATATTCAAAATCATCCTGCCTGGTGGCTAGTGTCATCACCCCATGTTCAAGATGATGAAACCGAGGCACACGATAATTAAGTCACTTGCCCAGGGTCACTAAGTAGGGAGAAAACTAGGCCTCAAGAAAGGGCCCTGCTCTGCCCTCCCGGGTCTCCAAAGAGCCGTGGGCCTTTCCTCTGACCTTTGGTGGCTCTGGCCCTGCTCCTCACCTGGGTACAAACTGGTTGGCAGGCCTCTTGGGCCGGTACTCAGGGTGCACCATAAAGAGCATGTGAGGGAAGCCAGTGCCAAAGTAGGCGCCGTCCGTGTGGTGATGCCTGGATGACTTGGGTGTGTACACGTCCATGCACTTGGGGCAGTAGAGTTTCACCATGGCCTCGCCCGGGATGTCCGACAGGCCTGGGAGAGAGCCGGGCTCAGCTGACCAGGAAGAGCACTCCCTGGCCCCCGCAACCCATCTTTTGGGCTCCGAGTTAGTATCAGCAGTAACACATTCCCAGGGAACCTGCCATATGCCACCCTCCCTCCTTTATCCACACTCACCAATGGGAAGCATTGGCTGGTTCTCACAGTACACACGGGGACAGTAGCCAAAGTCTCCCTGCTGGTACTTTTCCAACTGAGGGGAAGAAAATAAAGAGGACTGGTGGTAAGCATGAAGAAATAATGTAACCCACATGGTGCCGACTCTCTCCTCAGCCTAGCCCCCCCATCCTCCCTGGTGGTCCCCCCAATTCTCCCACCGCTGTCCAGAGGTCCCTTCTCTGGCTCAGATGGGCCTCAAGCCCTGCTGTGTCCCTTCCTCCAGTCGGGCAGGCTAGACTACAAGAACTTCCCAGGTAGGGCTGGGCCACCCTCCCTGAAAACAGACCCTTTAAGAACACCCTCGACCTGGACTCAATTCCGAGGCCCGGGTTCTGGGGTCTTCCCCTTTCTCCGCTAGACTCTTGGACAAGGTTGAAGTGTGTGACTTCTCGCCACAGGAACCGGTTTCCCTCACGGCCTCAGAAGGAAACCAGTGGGAGGGAGAGGCCTCACCATCTGGGCGATGCCCCGGTTGGTGAGGATGTAGCGGGCGTGGATCAATCCATACAGCATCTCTGCCGCCTGCTCGATCAGGTCACTCTGGTTGGGGTTGTCTTCCAGCTCTTCATCTGAAACATGGCCCGGCCCACAGGCAACACTTGCCATTCAGCTCTCCAAAAGGTGCTCCACCCCAACTCCCAGGGGCTACTGGCTAGTCAGCTCAACCCCCAACAACCTCTGAGTCTCAGCCCATCCATCACCTGGGTGTCCAGCCCTCCATCAACCCATGGCGACTCTCCCCACCCTCCAGTTTGCTTCTCTCCACCAACTTCTGTCTCAATAACAACAGCAACAAGAAAAAAGCTGCCAACAGAACTCTTAGATTAGGGGGGGAAAGGAGGCATAAAACAAAAATCGAGGGAAGCTGGCAGTCCAAATTAAGACGGAGTTCCAGAGCTTAGGGACGCAGGACAACGTCATTAAAAAAGTCAAGAACCAGATTGGGGAATCAAATTCCGAGGTGGAGCCCTGGGTTACGAGAAGGCAAAGGGCCCAAGAGAAATTTAGAAATGCAAGTCGGTGGTGAGCAAAGATGGAAGCAATCACAACAAAACAAGAGCAAAAGCAAAACTGCCCTCAGGGTGACTCACCAGGCTCTAGGTCCAAGATCATGTCTAGAGCCTGTCGATAGTGGGGCACCTGTTCATTGAGTCCTGTGAGGTTGAACTTATCTTGGATGTAGTCTTCATCCACCTGTGAGGACGTGGAAATCAAGCAGAAACCCACCAAGAATCTGGGCATTAAAAGACCGTCGCTCTGCTCCCTTGCCTTCAACACAGCTGCTTCCATGGGCCTCATCCTGCATTCCCACTCAGCAGAGGTGTACACATTCCCTCCCCTAAAGGCTTTGGCTTTTCTATCCCCCCAAATAACTCCACCTCCGAGAGACGTGCTTGTCAGGCCCCCAAATCCCTACTCCTGCTCCCCATTCCTAGGAACCAGCTTCGCCCTCTCCTTAGGGACAGCGGGCTCTCTTGGGAAGTTGGAGGCTGAACAGCTTGGGCGCCCAAAGGCAGTAAACAGTCCCTCTCGCTAACACAGGGTTTTGTCCATTACAAAGCATCTCAACAGGCAGCGCTCCCATTTCTTCTACCTGAAACAGGTACGACCCCAACTACTCTAGTGACAACGCAAGATGCAGGTGGGCCTCCCCAACACGCTATCTTTGGAGGGTGGCGGGGCTAGGACTGGCGCAGGGGGATGTCTGGGGCCCGACTCACTTCGCAGAAAAATTCATTGCCACGCAGCCCACAGAACCAGGAGATCCAGGACACCTCCTCCGAACTGCTCATCTTCACGTCAGCTGGGCACAAAGAAGCGTGCGAGGGAAGGCGGTAACCCGGGGCTTTCCTGCCCGCGCTCCGTCCGGGATCCTCCCTCCTCCCACACTTTGCAACCACCCACACTTTGCAACCACCCACACTTTGCAACCACCCACCGGGGCCACAGCCTTCCTTACAGCAAGCCAGCCTCGGGGAGCACCCTTCTCCCAGCTCCTTTGATGGACACGTAGGCCCTTTTCACAGCCGTGCGAAACGCGGCGTGTCCACCAGCGAGAAGCCAGCAGATCCGTCCCACTAGCCCCGGCCACGCACCCCTCAAGGCCGGGCCCCCCTCCCCTAGTCAGCGCCGGCGGGGCCCTGGGCTCCAGCCCCCGACCACTCTACCACCGTCGGGCTCGCCAACTTGCCGACGCCGGTCCCAAAGGTCCCGGAGTTGGTCCTTCGGGCCACGCACCCTCCCCCTGCTCCTCTCACGGGAGCGGGGTGCTCGTCAGGTCCCCTGCACCCAAAGCCGCACGGGCCGCCTCGGCGGGACCGGTCACTCCTCCCCCCGCCCCCACAACGACGCGCAGAGACCCCCGGGTGGAGCGGCAAGGAGCCGGAGGTGCGGCGCGACCCCGACCCCGAGACTTACCTGCTGGGGGGGGACCGGGGCGGGGAGGGGAGTGGCTACCGAGGCGCGGCGGCGACCGCTACAACGAAGGCCGCGGACCCAACCGCGGCAGGCGAAGCGCGGTGGGGCGGGGAGGGGGGGGGCGAGAGTGGAAATTGGGGAGGGTGGGAAGAGGGCAGGGCGCAGGCGCCAAAGGTCGGGCGCCGCTGTGCACGTCGGGAAACCGAGGCTCCAGGCTGGAGACGCCGGCGAGCCGAGGGAAAAGAGAACTACGAATCCCAGAGTGACCCACCTACGACCCAGGTTCCCGGGGCCGCGAGGAAGTAGTTCGAAGGCGGGGCACAGCCAGGCGCCACCGGAAGCGGAAGCGCGATACCGCAATTCGCAGCCAGGGAGTCTGGGAAATATAGTCCTCAGCTCTTGAGACGGTGGGGCCAGGACGGGGCGGCCAGAGGCTTTTGAGTCCCGTTCCACTGGCCTCCTCACTGCTCAGTCTGCAGGTCCCGATGCATTAGCTCCGCCCAGAGGAAAACAGGCGCGAGGGAGGTTTCCGGTTTGCAAAAAAACGTGTACTGCGCGCGTCATTTGTGTATAAACACGTTAGTCCTGTGCGTAATTTGGCCGTCCCGCCAACTTTATATCGCCTGGTGGGTTCTTTAACCTAATCAGGTCCGCCGCCTGGAGCTGGTTACCTCCCCCTCCCCGCCGCCCTCCGTCCCCGCCCAACCGCCCGCGGTGGGTCAGGCTGAGTGATGTGAGAACCAGGACCGCTAACCTGAGGTGGCGCCAGTCATTCTGGCGCTTGCTCCCTTGCCCTTTTCCATATCCTCTTAGCGCTTGAGTGGGGCCTTCTGCGGGCTTTGAGTGTGACCTTCGAACCCTGACCAGAGTGAGGATGAGGGGCAGCGAGATGTTATTTCACAGGTGCTCAGCATGCCACAGATTTCCTTCCTCCTCCTTGGGGGCTTTTCTTCTCAAAAAGTGGTTCCCCAGCTCCAAAAAAATGAGCTGGGAGCAGGGGACCACCTCGAGGGAGGCGAAGGGCATTGTGGGACGTGATGTAAAAGCGGGGCCCCAACCGACAGATCTACCTCAGTCCTCGCGCCCTCCGGGCACGGGGCCCTTTGCATATGAACTATTGGAAGCCCTCCAGCGCGGGAAACCGCACGTGGTCTTTTTAAAAAAAATGTGTCTGCACGTGGTCCTTTGCGCATGCCTGCACCTTTAAGGAATGATGGGTTTCCCACGCTCCCCTGCCACGCATGCGTCATCGTGCCGTGAGGGCTCGTCGCTTGATGAGAGTAGCGCCATTTTGCCGTACGGACGCTGCAAAGCAACACCCCTTCCGGAAATCTGCTTCCGGGTAAGTGTCGCTAAGCTGGGCTGGTTTGAAAAAACAGCCCCGAAATAGCAGCGAGGACGAATTAAAGGGCCAGGCTGGCTTTCTCTCGCTCTGCATCTTACAGGTATGTCATATGGTTTGGAAAAGTGGCTTCAGAGAGAGTTTGTTATTGTTTTTATGTGGGAACGGGATAAAGGGCGGGCATGGGGCTTTTGGTAACTCATTGCATTTTCTTTAGTGCTTAGCAAGGGGCATGTTTACGTTTCCTCTTTCTATATGTGCCTTTATAGTGTGTGTGTCTTGGATTCTAAGACTCCTCTTCCACACTCCGGCAGCTTCCTGGAGGTGGGTCAGGCCATTGCAGGGCCCTTCGAAGACGTGGTTGTCTCCTCCCCCACCCCACCCCCCATCTTTCGGAAAAGCCATGTCCTGGACCTCCCTCATTGCGTTCACCCGTGCCAGCGAATCTAGTGACCTCTGGAAAGATGGGCAGCAGCAGCCGCAGCCGCAGCCTGAGCAGCCAGAGCCTGCCTTAGATGGGTCCGCAGCCCGTGCTTTCTACGAATCCCTGATTGGGGACAGCACTCCTGAACCCCAGAGATCGCGGCCGAAGTCTGCCCGGGAGAGAAAGAGGAAGCAAAGAAGAGTGGTGAGAGAGGCTCCAGCACCAGCAGCGGCAGCCTCAGAGGGACATGAACAAGAGGGATCTCATGAGGCAGAGGACAAGATGACCCAGGGGATACTGAAGGCAGCTCAGGAGGGGGACCTGGCAGAACTGCGAAGGCTGCTGGAGCCCCGGGAAGCTGGCGGAGCTGGGGGGAATATCAACACCCGCGATGCCTTCTGGTGGACTCCCCTGATGTGTGCTGCCCGGGCCGGCCAGAGGGCAGCTGTGCGGTACCTCCTGGGCCGAGGGGCTGCTTGGGTGGGGGTCTGCGAGCTGGGGGGCCGGGATGCTGCTCAACTGGCTGAAGAAGCTGGCTTCCTCGAAGTGGCCCGTATGGTCAGGGAGAGCCATGGAGAGACCAGCAGCCCCAAGAACCGGTGAGGAAGCCTTAGCCTCCAGACATCTTTTAATATGTTCAGCCTTTCCTGGTCACCCTGCACCAGTGGGCCCCAGAATAGAGCTCAGGAGTCCTCCTCGTCCCATGGTAGGTTGATGAGACAATGTAGAATCGGCGTTAACACTTGAACTCCCCGAGTTTGAATCCTACCTCCACATACTTGGGTAAACAAATGAACAGCTATATGCCCTCCCACCTGAGAAATAGGGGGTAACTAGCACCTTAAAAGGTTGTTAGGGCGAACGTGTGCAAAGTACTAAGGCCTTGCCACCCAGTCCTTCTTAATCGCCAGCCAGTCAGTTCCAATCCATAGCAGCCCCTCAGGTGCAGATAAAACCACTCCTTGGGGTGTTGAGGTTGTGACCTTTGGGAAGCAGATTGTCAGGCCTCCCAAGGCACCACTGTGGGTTTGGAACTGCCAACCTTTTGGCTAGTAGCGGAATTTAAATCTTAGTGACATCTAGGGACTGTTCTGCCATGTAGAAACCTTATATAGGGTTTCTGAAACTGTAAATCTTGTTTTTTAAACAGTTTTATTAGCACTTCATGTACATGTCATGCAATTCAATTAATTCAGTCATATCAAGAGGAGTTGACCGTTAAAACCATATTTAGTTCTAGAACATATTCCTTGTACTCAGTGTTATTCATGTACTTTTTTCTACTTGTGGCAAAAATATACACAACAAAACATTCTCTAACTCCACGACTTCTACATGTATAATTCAGTGCCATCGATTATAGTCTTCGTGTTGTAAACCATTATTGATCTCCTTTTCCAAATTATTCCACCACCATTAGCATCAATTCAATGCCCCCTATAAGCAACAACTCTTTCTCCTTCACCCCTGGTAACCATTGGTCAAGCTTGGTTCTCTTTTTTTAGTAGTTTTCCTGATAATATTCACATATTATACACGTCCCTGGTTAAATCGCTTTTAAAAAGAGTTGCGTATAAAAAAATTTAAAAATAGAGTTGCATGTACATCCTCACAATCAGTTCTAGTGCTCCCTCCCTAAAATCTTTATGGAAGCAGGCAGCCTCATCTTTCTCCCAAGGAACGGCTAGTGGGTTTGAACGGCTGACTTTGGGGTAAGCACTGTACATAAATATTAACTGAAATCACTATTATTCATTCTTTGCCTCCAAAGCCTTGTGAGACTATTTGCCATCTCTTCTCCCAAACCAGTCCCCTCTGGGTGAGGAGGAAGACATTTTGTTCTTTAGCGGAAGGGCTAAAATTAGATCCTGTACCACCCTGAAAGCTGCCCTCACCCCCACCCCCAGGCCTTTGTACTCTTCTGCTGAGCCGTAACTCCCTCCCTCAACTCCTTCTCTCCTTCCTCTCCAGGCCCCACCCTCGTGCCCTCCAGTATTGTGAGAGCTGTGATGCCCATTTCCAGGATGCCAACCACTGCACTTCCACTGCTCACCTGCTGGCGTTGTCCCGAGGACCCTGTCCCCCCAACCTGCCTCCTGGGGTGCCTGCCTCCAGCCCAGGCTTCAAGTTGCTGCTGAGGGGGGGCTGGGAGCCAGGGAGGGGGCTGGGGCCTCGAGGAGAGGGTCGCACCAACCCTATCCCCACTGTCCTCAAGAGGGACCAGGAAGGACTGGGCTACAGTTCCGCCTCCCAGCCCCGAGTCACACACTTCCGGGCCCTGGATACCAGGGCGGTGGCTGGGAAGGAACGAGCCCCTCGGATGACCACACTGAGCCGGAGAGCGGCGAGAAGGCGAGAGGAAAAGGGCAGGGCCTGGGAGCGGGACCTCAGGATGTACATGAACCTTGAGTTCTGATCTCAGAGAGGCCTACTGTGGTCTGCTTCCGGCGTCTGGGCTTCTTCGGTCCTGAGACTTGAGCACTTTGGATGAGGCCTGCCTGTGTCCGTTGGGAGTGAGGGACAGAGAGTTGGAAAATAAATCAACCTTCACTCTTTGATGGTTTATTGGTTTTCCTGCAAGCCCGTCAGAGCCAGAATGAGCAGCCATCTCTAGGTAGCACGACAGGGCCATCTTGCCAGCCTGCCCCTGTCAAGAGAGCCGACCCCTAGTTTCCAAGCCCTGGAACCTGGAGCCCACTGTCGCTCTGTGTACGTCGGCTGCCCAGGCAATTCAATCACTGACTTCACGCTCGCTGTGGCTAAGAAAACGGACACGTTCCCCTATCCCCCAAGGAGCTCACAGCTGGATGAGGGAGAGCCAGGCCTCTGGTCAGATACCATGCATGGCCATCCAACTCCCAAGAGTCCTTTGGAAAGGCTTTTTAGGAGTTCAGGCACCCAAGAAGGAAACAGCCCCAAAGGACTGCGGGTGGGGGGAAGGCTTCGAGTTTGGAGGGACGCTGGGTCCTCTGGGCAGCGGAAAGGACAATGGGCATCCATCCATTCGGGCCTGGCCCCCGCCCTAAGGCCGGACGAGCCCCAGCGTGCGGGGGACGCGCTGACGACTCCGCGTGGGGGCGGGGCCTGGGGGCGGGCGGTCTGCAGGCTCCGCCCCGCTTGCAGACTCCGCCCCCAGGCTGCAGGCTCCGCCTCCGCCTTTCCCTCCGGTCCCGGCGCGGCTGCTTCCGGGCTGCGCGGCTCCCGGCCGCTCCCCGAGGCCGCGGCCCCAGCCTGGGCCCGGGCAGGGCGGCGGCGCCCGGCTCGCGGACGCCTGCGCCCTCGGGCAGGCCCGCTCTTTGCCCCCGGGACCGGAGTCCCCGAGGACATCTGGGCCTGACCTTGGAGACGCTGCTGCTCGGCTGCGCGCCCCGGGGCTGCTGCGGGCCACCCCGTCGGCTCCATCGCCCCTGAACTCGAGAGGCCAACGCCGCTGCTTGGAGATTGCTGGGCACCCCCTCCCCCAACCAGGACATTTCCGACTCCGTGAGGCCCCCTAGGGCAGCAGTTCAAGACTCCCCAGACCTAGGAGCGCTTGGGACACCTTTCATCTTTCTTGAATGGAGCATCGCCTACCCAGTGCTGGGGCACCTTGAGGCGTGGCCTTGGTGAGTGAAACTTGGGGTGCAGCCCGCTGAGAAGGAAACCCAGAGGCACAGGGGGACACTGTGGGGTGACTCAAGCCTGGTCAGGCCCCGAGACACTTGGGTGTATGTGTGGAAGGGGAGAGTGAACTTTACTGCCTGCCTTTACTGCCCAACTGAAAAGAAACCTGCCCCCCCCCCCTTGAGACTGCATGACACCCCTCATCCCCTGGGGAAACAGGGAGCCACCTTTGAATTCAATACCCAACCGCATTGTTCTTTGCATCCACCTAGAGAATCTGATTGGTGCAGGAAAGGAGCTCGGGATTTGGGGACCCACTGAGCACCCGAGCCATGTTCCTGCGGCGACTAGGTGGCTGGCTACCTCGGCCCTGGGGCCGTCGAAAAGCAGCAAAACCTGACCTGTCCACCCCCGACTCCAGAGGGATGGACAGCTCCCCAGAGAATTCTGGGAGTGACTGGGACAGTGCCCCCGAAACCATGGGCGATGTGGGGCCGCCCAAGGGCAAGGACACGGGGGCACAGAAGAGCTCTAGGACTGCCCCCGAACCAAGCAGGGGTCCTCCACTTGCTCAGCTGCGGAGCAGAAGAACGGGCCCCCTCAAGCTGGACAAGGCTGCCCCTGGCACTGAAGAACCTAGGAGACTGGAGGCTGGAGCGGCTGTGGCCAAACCGGGACAGGACTCTGTCTACTCAGGCGGAGCCCAGAGACCCGGGGTGCCTCCAGAAGGGGAACTGAGCCCCTCTGAGCCTGAAGCTCCAGTGGAGAAGCCAAGCCACCGTCAGAAGTTGCTGGGCTGGCTTCGGCGGGGATCAGGTGGTGGCGTGGGCCCCCCGCCACCCTACCTGGGGACCCCAGAGGAGCGCCTGCAGATCTCCACCAACCTAACCTTGCACTTGCTGGAGTTGCTGGCCTCGGCCCTGCTGGGGCTGTGCTCCAGGCCCCTTCGGGTAGCCTTGGACGCATTGGGCCTGCGAGGACCGCTGGGTCTCTGGCTGCACGGGCTGCTGTCCTTCCTGGTGGCCCTGCACGGGCTGCACGCTGTGCTGAGCCTCCTGACTGCCCACCCCTTGCACTTTGCCTGCCTCTTTGGCCTCTTGCAGGCCCTAGTGCTGGCTGTTAGCCTTCGGGAGCCCAGTGGAGAAGAGGAGGCCACTGACTGGGAGGGTGAGAGGTTGGGCAAAGAGGGCGAAGAGCCGAGAGAAGACCTGGGCATGGGCAGGGGACTGTGACTGTGGGGAGGGGTGTGACACAGGGCCCCATCCCCAGTGGCATGGGGTCAAGTGAAGAGAGTGTGGCCTTCAGAAGGTGGGGGAGGCCATGACCCAGATTGGAAGCATAGGGACCTCAGGGATGTGGATGGAGACCCAGGGCATGAGGGTGCAGGGTCCCTTTCACACACAGCAGCGCACAGGACTGCTTTGGGATGTCTGTGCGTGGAGGGTGCCCTTGAATTCACCAGCTGTAGTCACTTTGGCTTTTACATTTCTAATCATTCTCCTTAAAAAGGGGGGCGGGGGGTCGTGGTGGTGGCAGATACAAAAGAGGTTTTTCTACTTTTCTTAACTCCCCAAAGGTGGAGAAGATTAGAGAGGGCTCTGAGTAAGGGTCAGGTGGGGTTACCCACGGATGTCCGGCCCCTGGGTTCTCAGCCCTCCTGGAAGAGTGGGCTGCTAGACAGGTGGGTTGGAAGGTCTGAATGGGGTCCCATAGGAGACAAGGAGCAGGCAGGAAGATCCGGGTGGTCTTAGAGGGAGTGGGGCTGGTGTAGCTGGTCAGACGGGCAGTGTGGGGGAAGCCCTGGAACTTGCAGCCCCACACGGTTTGGGGTTAGGGGTTTTCTCACTAAGCAATACTGTGTCACGCCTAATCCTAAATATACCACTACAACGTGAGAGTGGCCACTGCTCAGTGTCCTTCTTGACGCCGTCCAGCTGGGGACTTGAGTAGGTTGATATCTGGAGACATATCCCAGGATGAGGATTAAGAAATCAGGAAATCATCTTTATTATTGAAAGGGCGTTCAGGAGCCTCTAGCTAACGCCGCCCCCCTCACACCATGGCAGCTCCCCCAGTGTCCATCTGGGAGCACAGATGAAGCCTCTGGTCAGTTGCTGGACAGCTCACAGGCCTCTGGCAGGAGGGAGAAAAGTGAAGATGAAAAGCAAGGCGGAGCAGGGAGAGAGGCCAGTTTGGTGCTGACAGGGTGGAGAAGAATGTGTTAATTTTTTCCCAAAAACGGATCTCGGACCTTTTGCCCACAGGGCTTGACACTTTACCCACTGTCAGCTCAGAACCCCTGCTTTTGGGGAAGCCCAGCCTCAGGTGATTGCATAGCGCCTGGCCCCCGTGCCTCAGGTGCCATCAGAGCCTGTGTGACACACTGGGAGTGTTGTAGTCATTCTGTCGAAAGCAGCTGTGGCCATATCCTCCCAGGGTGTCACATGAGCCCCTTTCAGCCAACACTCCCAGAAGGCTTGCTCAGTCTAGTCTCCTGACTAGGACTCCTCACCTTGATTCCTGGGCGTCAGTAAGAAGGCCTTGGACTCCAGGCAGTAAGTCAGGGACTGGAACTCCTCCACGCAGCTCTCAGGAGGGTGTGGCGAGCGATCTGGAAGGGCAGAGCAGGGTCTTGCTAGCTGAGCCCCTCTCCTCTGCTGAGGGCCCCTGGGAAGCACTCGGCCCTGCCCCCTTTCTCTCTGACCCATCCTGCCGTGCATCCCCACTCACTGTAGAGGAGAAAGCGCTGGTACCCCTGACCCATCTCCTTCAGCATGATTCCACCTGGGCAGGAACTGGAGAAGAGCTCAGTCTTCATGTCTGGGCGGCCTGTGAGGGTGGGCACAGGGAGGGGGAAAGAACAGAACTGCAAAACCGAGTACGTCCAGGGAGTGTGGGGAGGATGAAGTCTGAGGGAACCAACCTTCGGTTTTGAGATCGGTGCTCCCCTCAGTCAGGTGGTAGGTCCATTTCCGGGGCACACACAGCCCGTTTTTCCTGCAGAGGTGGTGGTGGGTAAGGAGGAGAGAGTGAGTGACATCCGGTCACATGGCATCAGCCTCTATTTCTCCGTGCAACCCGGATCTTGGGTTCTAAGCTCCACAAGGGGTAGGGAGGCCCATCTCTGGCTCTGGAGGGGAACTGATGGAGCTTTTGAATCGAGTGGGCCAAGGAGAGTGGATGCATCAGCCAAGGGCATAGTTCTTGGTGGTGGGTGCTCACACTTGGGGCAGAGGCTGCACCCACTGGTGCCTCGGCCACAGTCGCCACTCACGTGCGGATCGTAGCACGAAGCTGGAGCTGCGTCGGGCTCGAGCCAGCAGTCATGTTGAAGACAATGTTGTCCACAGGATCAAAAGTTGCCAACTCTTCCTTGGTGGGAGCTGCCCCTGCGATAAAGTGCCACTGGCCCAGGTGGGGCTCTGGAAACTAGAGACAGTGGAGAGCAAAAGAAGGTGGGTCCTATCTCAGAATCTATCCAACTGCATCTTCAGCCAGCACAGGAAGATGTCGAGGGCAGGGTGTGTTGGCTGCTTTCTCTTTCCCACTGGGAGATGGATCAATGAGCCATCAATGACTTCCCTCCTATGTGCCTCTCCTCAGTCAACGTGGCTAACCAGCTCACTCCCAGTTCTGCTGTGTCCACACGGATGACCACAGCCCTAGTGTCTGTCTTACTGCTTTTATCAATACACCGGTTTTCCTACCTTCCTCTTCCACTGTGTCTTCTGGTCATCCGAAGCCATCTGCCAGTCTCTCCGAGCCACCACCCTAGACTCCCCTCGCTCCATACCTCTTTCCCGTCCATTCCTAGAGTTGTCAGCTGACTGTGCTCAGGGCACTGGTAGATGGAGTTCAGGAGAATGGCAGCGAAGTAGAGCAGGGCTTCCCAGATTTTGTGCAACATCTTCAGGCAGGAGGGAGCCAATGACCTGGTGTGGGGTGGCTGGTGCCTTAACTGCTCTATCCCCCAGCTGGCTGCTCAGTGCTCTCTGCTCCCAGCCCCCTTGCCTTGACCCTCGACCCTTTCACCTGCTAATGAGTAACTTCAACTTTGTTTTCCAGCCCAAGCCTGGATTACTTTACAGGGTTTGGACCTTCCTCCCCCTCCTCTAGATGCAGCACCCAGGCATGTCCGGGGTCTCTCAGGAATGAGGAGGCCTGAGCTTTTCAATCCTATCTGAGCGGGCTATCTGCTGGGTTAGGCAGCATTTTAGGAGGGGTGGCTTAATAGCGTTTTTCATTCCTTCACTTAGCAAATTGTTTTGAGTCCCCAACTGTTTGCCAGGAACTGGCTAAGCCCTGGGAACACAAGGATGAGTAACACACAGGGCCTGGCCTTGAAGAAGTCTAGGGAAAAAATCAGCTGTGTAAACATGATTGCAATACCCCTTGATAAGTACTTTAGACTAGCTATGAACCAGGTACCGGGGGCGTGATGGGTGGCTTTCTGAAGGAATTTATAATTGGGGAAATTTGTGTACCCTTGGAAAAGTTTGCTGGCAAAATGTGTTTGTTCATTCCACATTTATTGTTAAGCAAGAGGCTACATAATCTTTTTTGTTTTAATCATTTTATTGGGGGCTGTACGCTTATCACAATCCATCCATCCATCCATTGTATCAAGCGCATTTGTTGCCATCATCATCTCTGAACATTTTCTTTCTACTTTGAACCCTTGCTATCAGCTCATTTCTCCCCTCCCTCCCCCATTCTCCGGAACCCTTGATAATTTATAAATTATTTTTTCATGTCTCACACTGACTGGATGTCTCCCTTCACCCATTTCTCTGTTGTCCATCCTCCAGGGAGAGGGTTATATGTAGATTATTGTGATCGATTTCCCCTTTATCTCCCACCTTCCCCTTCCCCTTCTGGTATCGCTACTCTCATTATTGGTACTGAGGGGTTTATCTGTACTGGGTTCCCAGTGTTTCCAGCTCTTATCTGTACCAGTGTACATGCTCTGGTCTAGCTGGATTTGTAAGGTAGAATTGGGATCATGATAGTGGGGTAGGGGAGGAAGCATTTAGGAACTAGAGAAAAGTTATGTTTCATCATTGTTACACTGTACCCTGACTGGCTCGTCTCCTCCCCACAAACCTTCCATAAGGGGATGTCCAGTTGCCTAGAGATGGGCTTTGGGTCTCCACTCCGCACTCCCCCTCATTTACAATAATTTTTTGATCTTTGATGCCTGATACCTGATCCTATCAACACCTCGTGATCTCACAGGCTGGTGTGCTTCTTCCATGTGGGCTTTGTTGCTTCTCAGCTAGATGGCCGCTTGTTTATCTTCAAGCTTTTAAGACCTCAGACGCTATATCTTTTGATAGCTGGGCACTATCAGCTTTCTTCACCACATTTGTTTATGCACCCACTTTGTCTTCAGCGATCCTGTAGGGAAGGTGAGCATCGTGGAATGCCAGGTTAATAGAACAAAGTGTTCTTGCGTTGAGGGAGTGCTTGAGTAGAGGCCCAATGTCCATCTGCTACCTTAATACTAAACCTATAAATATATGTCCATAGGTCTATTTCCCCATCATCACATATAAATATATTTACATATGTACATGGCTGCATGGCTAAGAGGAGAGATTTTGGGGTCAGGAAGACCTGGGTTGAGACCCTTGAACAAATTTTATTAACCTGTGCCTGTTTCTTGGTTTGCAAAATGGGCATACCATCAATTTCCTAGGATTAAATGATAAGCTACCCAAAAGCCTGCATTTGCTGAGCTCAAGGTAAACATTCACTATAATTAATAGAGTGTTTGCAAAGCACTTATTACAGTTTCTGGAAGATAGTCAGTTCTCAAGTGCTAAGAAGAAAACAAGTACTTGTCAAGAGGCAGTAATTGCACACGACCAAGTGGGTGGGGCAGTTAATGCAGTAAGTGGGGCTTTCTTATTTATAAGCTATCTCACTGCCATTGAGAGTGGATTCAACTCATGGCCACCCTATAAGATAAAGTAGAACGGTGCGTTTCCGATGCTGTAAATCATTACAGGAGCAACATACATCTTTCTCATGGAGTGGGCTGCGCAGTTTCCAACTGCTGACCCTGTGGTTCCCAGCCAGGGTCACTTGGCTACTGCACTGTCCTACCAGGGCTTTTTTTAATAACACATACTGCCACTGCCGTTGAGGGGATGCCTGCACATAGTGATCCTAGAGGGCAGGCTAGAACTGCCCCTCTGAATGCCCAAGAGACTTTACAGGTAGCTTATTCACGTAGGCTACCAAATACATGTATTTCCCCCGAGATTATGCTTGATTCCGTGAACAAGCAAAACAGGGAGTCATCTGGGTAACGAGCACTCATGGTACAGTTTTGAGTATGTTTGGAGTTTACCAAAAACAAAAATACATTTCTTGGGTGTGTGTGTGTGTGTGTAGCAAAGTGCTTGAGCTGTCGTCTGGCAGGCCTTGTACTAGTAGTTCTGCCACCTTGCCCCAGGTGTGCTCACCTATGAGACATGTACTAGCTAAGATGGTCAAAGTCTTAAACATAACAGGAGGTAAAACTTTTAGTATCCTGCCTGACACAACTAAATGCTCTCTAGCTAAGTGTTAAAAGGACTCATCCATTGAGGTTTGGGTACATAATTTAGGGATCTTGGAAAAGCCCAATGGATGGATCACAGCGTCTTGAGGCTGATTAACTTGCCCAGGTGCGAAGGACACAGAAGTGTAGTGACCCCCCCGTCCGAGCACGCCAGAGTCCCGTGTCAGAATTTTGCCTTTCCGCCCCGTACGACTCCATTTACACACAATCCTCAACATCGGGGGCGTGCCTCTCCTCGACCACACTCCTGAAGAGTAGCAGCATCCTTAGTTTTCCAAAAGCATGGCGACTTCCCTGCGCCAGGCAAAAAAACGGTATGACGCCCGGCCCCCGGAATGCCCACCGGGTAGAACCGAGGGACGGCGAACGAAACGACTGCTCGCGAGAGAAGCCAGGGCGCGAGTCACGCCAACCGCTGGTGGAAAGATGACTTCCGGGGGCCTCGCGGGGAGGGCGCGGCGAGGGCTACGCGGAGCGGAAGGCGGTTTTAGGTGGCCAGGGACGTGCCGGCTGAGATTCTGTCCGCCAGGAGTTTGACGTGGGGTACAGGAGACAGGCACCCGAGTTCCCCAACTCTCCGAGCCATGCAATAGTCGGAAGCATCTTTGGAGGCAGAGCCGTGAAGCCCTTTTTCGTAATTCGTTTTCAGGCGTTTCTTGTGGCCACCCCAACCTTCGAGCCCTCAAACGCGCGCTCGGAAAAACGGTGGGAGCCGGGTGGGGGCGGGGCGCGCGGAGGGGGCGGGGCGGGCGGCGAGGCGCGTCTTAGGCAGTACGCATGCGCAGTGCAGCCCGCGCAGGCGCAGTACGGTCCCCCGGGCGGCGGCGGCGGCGGCGGCGGCGGCTCCTCAGGGTGCTCGGCTCCCTCCCATCTAGGCCGGCCCCGGCCCGTCTCGCCCCCAGGGATTCACACCGTAGGGGGCTGCGGACGTCTTCGTGCCCCACGAAAGGAAAACTTGGGGGCCTGGGGGAGCCGGAAGTACCGCCTCGCGGTCCCCAAATACGATCGGGGAAACGGAAGTGGCCGTCGGTGGCAGGTTGCAGGGGACCGGAAGTGACGGTATCGTGGGGGAGTGGGGGTGGAGCCGCGGGTTGTGTGTATGCGTGTGTGGTGTGAGTGATCTTGTGCGTGTGTTTATGTGAGTGTGCGCGCGCGCGCGGCGCGCGCATCTCGCTCTGTGCTGATTGCGCCGCTCTGCTGGTCACCGAGGGAAGGCGGAAGGCCGGGGCAGTCGGCTGGCCGGTCCCGCCACCCCCCCCCCCCCCCCCCGTAAGTGTCAGCCTTCGGCCGTGACTTAGGCGGGTTCGATGGGCGTGGCGCGCGTGCGCGGAGCCACTTTCTCCGCCGTCTCTGACGCGACCCCCAGGCCCTTGCAGTGCCCCGGGGTTTGCCGATCCCTGGGGCCCTGGCCCTGTGGAGACCGGTGATGACACCGGTCTCGTGCTTCCTTCTCCGCTTCCTAATCTGACCAGCCCTCTTGGAGTGTGATTGGCATCGTCGAGCCCCTCCCACCTTCCCCTGCCCTCCAGCTCCCCGGGAGTCGATCTTCTCGCTGCCCTTTGTGTGTTCCTCCGCTGCTGCCCCAGGAAGCAGAACGGGCGATGGGGGCGGGTGTGAGTGCGTGTGCTTGTGCGGGAGAAACTTTTTAGGTATTGGAACGGGGCACTCAAGCCTCGGGATACATAAACTGGCCGGGCCACAGCAGACCCTCCCCCTCACCCCAACCCCCCTTTCTTCCTTAGAGAGCGGTCCGCCATGGAGCCCAGTGATAGTAGCAGTACCACTATGGAAGAGCCTGACAGCCTGGAGGTGCTGGTGAAGACCCTGGACTCCCAGACGCGGACCTTTATTGTGGGGGCGCAGGTGAGACCCCCCACTACTTTGGGAGACCCTTTTTCTGTTGTAGGCTCCTTAGCTGGAGGGAAGAGGCACCGTTTCCGGGCCTGCTTATTTTCGCATTGGTTGGTTGGTTTAGATTCTACCACAGGATCATTCTAGTGTTTGCCCCTGTTGGTTGAGCAGGTGATGGCTCCTGATGAGTCAGGGAGATTTTGCTCCTGATCTTCCGCCTGTCTAGAACTCACTGCTGAGGGGAATTACAGAGGAAGGAGCCTCAGTATGCTATCATTATAGGGGTGTCAGCCCAGAGGGGCGGCGGGCATGGCTCCAGCTCTGGGGAAGAGAAATAACACCCAAGTCCAAAACACAAGTGTGTCTTGAAGCCAGAGAGGAATTGGCCAGGTCCATACTACCTTATTAAGACCAGAAAGCAGAATTCATAATGGAAGCAGAGCCAAATTGACTGCTGAGTGGAGTTGCTGACATATGTGACTTATTTTTAATTTCTTTGCGTGGATACAGCTATCTTGGAGACAACATTGTGAGCAGGTTGGTCCACGGGGTTTTAAAACATGCCATGTTAAAGAAAATCACCAAGGTTTATCTCATCAACCTTTTCTTCCTCTTCGTTCGCTGGCTTTCTTACCTTGGATTTCTCACCCTTCTCTTTTGTCATGACTTTTGAGAGCCACGGTGGTGTAGTGGTTAGGAGTCGGACTGCTCACTACAAGGTCAGCCGTTCGGAAGACAGGACTCTGTAATCCCGTAGAGTTGGTGTCGGAAGTCTCGGGGGCAGGTAGCTCTACCCTGACCTGCAGGGTCACTAAGACTCAGCGCGGGCTGCATGGCAGGGAGTTTGGTTTTTGATAGGGCTGTGCCTTGAAGCCGACACAGTGGTAGTGGGGTTTTTTGAGTAGTAAATAAACTCCTGGTATAACTTTGTGCTTAGCGAAGGGTGTTTCCTTTAGTATCTTGAGAAACACATTCCCTTGGGAGTCAAGTGTGGAATGAGAAAGCAGTGTCAGTTAGCTTTTCTGTTTTTAGCGTAATGCTGTTTTGTTTTTGTTTTTAAGCTCTTCTGGGTCTGTAATGTGAGCTTCCCAAAGGTTACTGTCTGTGTTTTGACAGATAATTTCTCAGAGGTCGCACAGTAACTCGCAACTGAGACAACTGGGTAGTGATTTTATGATGGCTTTTAACCCTCACTGCTGTGAGTCCGCTGTCACGGCTCTGTGCTTCCACCTTCCTCCCTTCCGAAGTCCTGTCCTTGTCTCTCCTTGCAGATGAACGTGAAGGAGTTTAAGGAGCACATTGCTGCCTCTGTTAGCATCCCTTCCGAGAAGCAAAGGCTCATCTACCAGGGGCGTGTGCTGCAGGACGATAAGAAGCTCCAGGAATACAGTAAGGGCACGGCGTGGCAGGCCAGAGGCTGAGGCTATTGTGCAGAGGGGTGGCTGGGGCCCCCTGGATTTATCTGATCAGACGATGTTTAGGTGTGTGTCTGTGTTCTCTCCTCCCCCTGCAGATGTTGGAGGAAAGGTTATTCATCTGGTGGAACGGGCTCCTCCTCAGACTCAGCTCCCTTCATCTGGGGCGTCTTCTGGGACCGGGTCTCCTTCAACTACCCATGGTGGGGGACCCCCACCTGGTACTCGGGGTACTGGGGCCTCTGTTCATGACCGGAATGCCAACAGCTATGTCATGGTTGGAACCTTCAATCTTCCTGTAAGTTTATGTTCCCACGGGAGGGTTTTTGTGGGTAAAGGTGAATAGTGTTTGTGGTAGCAGCAGAGAGCTCTTAAACAGGTGTCTTTGTGGATTAAACTGGGAGGTCCCGGGGTGGAGGGCTGGGGTGGTTGTTGGCCTCCAGAGAATGAGCTGGAAGTGTGGGGACCGTAGTCTTTGGCTTCTCCCAGAGCAACTTCCCTTGCCCCTTTCCCCAGAGTGACGGCTCGGCTGTGGATGTTCACATCAACATGGAACAGGCCCCAGTCCAGGTATCCTGGGGCCTGGGAGGGTCAGGGAAGGGGATCTGGGAGAAGGAGCCCACGAGGTGGGGTGGAACTGGCTAGGCTAAAGAGAGGGCTGGATCCTGCTGGAGTAATCGGGAGTGGGGCTGGGGTGGGGGCTTGGGGGTAGGGTGGGGTGCGGTGCAGCTCATGGCTTCATCTCAATCCAGCTCTCATTGACCCTTCTCTTTCCGTAGAGTGAGCCTCGGGTACGGCTGGTAATGGCTCAGCACATGATCAGGGACATACAGACCCTGCTGTCCCGGATGGAGGTGAGTGGGCAGGGCTGGCTTGTATCTCTCTGTCTTGTCTCTGCACTGTCCGTTCTTTCAGCCTGGGTGTGGGGGTGTGACTGGCAGTGTCCACAGGCTTCTGCCTCCCTAACCTGACCTCTCTGTCCGCAGTCTTCATCCTCTCAAGCAGAAAAAGTGTCTTTGGGAGGCACTCTTGTCCCTGCTGATCCTCTTGGTATCTGCTGTCTAGGGAGTTTGTTTCAGACTCTGTAGACAATTCTCATGGCATCTTTTCTTTGTATGACAAAAGGTTCCCACCTTTTAAAAGTTCGTAATTATATATGACATCAAAACTCTGCTAGTTCATGATGCACTCACAACCTGACGCCTTTCCGGCCCTTCTCCTGGAGAGGGAACTCACAAGCTCTGCTCTTGGCTGGCAGTTCATTTGCATATACTACAAGCATTTTTCAGGCCACTGATTGGTACAAGTCTTTTCCTTAAGGCCCAGGGTCTTAGATGCCCATGCGAAGCCTGCCCCTAGACAGCCTGCTTTGGGCACGCTCACCCAAGGAATGCTCTGCAGTGGTCCCACCTTGGTGTCTTGACTCTCCTGCCTTCAGTGTCGAGGGGCCCCTCAAGCCCAGCCGCCCCCCCAGACGCCAACAGCTGCCCCAGAACCAGCAGCCTTGAGCTCCCAGACAACAGACGCCGAGGAAAGTGAAGCCCCTCCTCGGGAGCCTATGGCGGCGGAAGAGGTGGAGGAGCACGCCCCATCTCAGAGCCCCGAGCCTGCCCCTTCTGCTGGTCTGTCCCCTTCGGGACTGACGCCTGCACCAGAGACAAATGCACCCAAGTAAGGGACACGGCACTCTTGGGGTGGGGGCGGTGTGATTATGATGGGAGGGCCAGTTGGCTGGTGGTCAGTCTTACTTCTGTGGCTGGCTAGCTGTTGGGGGCAGGGGAGAGCTTTGTTAGGCGTAGGGGTAGGACTGGCAGCTGAGCAGAGTTCCTGCCCTTCCCCGGATAGGGAGAGCCTCCTGGTGCCTCCTTAGCCTGCTGCCCTAGTCCACATGGCCCCACCTCTTTTTCCTGTTGAGTGTCTTACACTTGTGAGGATGGGGATGTGCTAGTGGGGAGCGGGATACAATTTCTTTTCTTCTCCCCATCTTCCTGTGTGGGTGTTGTGGGGCAGAGAGCCAAGCACAATCACTGAAGTCCAGGAGGGAGGGGTTTGGGTCGGTCATCTGGGAGGCCCGAGGGAAGCTGTGCTCACTGTGGCTCGGGGCTGCCTGCAGCCACCCTTCCCCTGCGGAATACGTCGAGGTGCTCCAGGAGCTGCAGCGGCTGGAGAGCCGCCTCCAGCCCTTCCTGCAGCGCTACTATGAGGTGCTGGGTGCTGCCGCCACCACGGACTATAACAACAACGTGAGTCCTCAGCCCTGAACAGAACACCCCCCACCCCACCCCATGATCTGCCTTGATGAAACGGCTTCTCTCTAGATCAGGGGTCCTCAAACTTTTTACACAGAGGCCAGTTCACTGTCCCTCAGACGCGTTGGAGGGCCGGACTATAGTTTAAAAAAAACTGTGAACAAATTCCTGTGCACACTGCACATATCTTAGTTTGAAGTAAAAAACAAACGGGGCAAAAACATCCAGTGGGCCCTCGCGCCGTAGTTTGAGGACGCCCGCTCTAGATCGTAAGCCAGGCACCTCTTCCCAGGAAGGGGATGTGCTCCTTGTAACCCCAAATAAATGAGGGAGGGAGTTTGGGGGAGGAAGCAAGACTGTGAACCTTGACTTGATTTTCTGGTGGTTTTGCTTTGAGAGTCAAGATTTGAAGCCTATAAAGCCAACTTTAGGGACAAACCCATGGCTGCCGTTTAGGGGCGTGGCCTCCTGGGAAGGCAGTAGTCCTTTGTTGGGGAGGCGGTGCCCGGCTGATACACGCTGTTCACTGGACTGCAGCACGAGGGCCGAGAGGAGGACCAGCGCTTGGTCAACCTGGTGGCGGAGAGCCTGCGGTTGCTGGGCAACACCTTCGTGGCGCTGTCGGACCTGCGCTGCAACCTGGCCTGTGCCCCGCCACGGCACCTGCATGTGGTCCGGCCCATGTCCCACTACACCACCCCCATGGTGCTCCAGCAGGCGGCCATTCCCATCCAGGTGGGCCGGGAGCAGGCCGGGGGTGGGAGTGTTGGAGTTTGCAGACTGAGGAGGGCTGGAGGCTTGCTGGAGCGTAAGGGTCTTCAGAGGTGAATCATGACGTCCTCCAGGGAGGCTTTCTCACTGCTGCCTGTTCGTCTGTCTCCAGATCAATGTTGGCACCACTGTGACCATGACGGGGAATGGGACTCGGCCCCCCCCTGCTGCCAATGCGGAGGCACCTCCCCCAGGTCCTGGGCAGGCCTCGTCGATGGCTCCCTCTACCACTGCTGAGCCCTCCACTGAGGGGGCTCCCCCGCCGGGGCCGGGGCCAGCTCCGCCCCCAGCCGCCAGCCACCCAAGGGTCATCCGCATTTCCCACCAGAGCGTGGAGCCCGTGGTCATGATGCACATGAACATTCAGGGTGAGTGCAGGGCCAGCCAGGAAGGGCTTCGGGGAGGTGAGGGTAAGGAGACAGGCCAGAGCTGGCAGTGGCAACCTGGGGAACAGAGCACCTGCGTGTGGGGGGAGAGACCCGAGGGGTCTGCTTTGCCCTCAGCGCTTGTGTGCGTGGAGAAGGGGCCAGGAGGAGGAACAGGCTCCGAATCAGGCTGGCTGAGCTCAGAGGACGGCTTCGCCAGGCTGACGGGACGGCCCTCTGTTTGTCTCTCGTTCCAGATTCGGCCACGCAGCCTGGTGGGGTTCCGAGTGCTCCTGCTGGCCCTCTTGGACCTCCTGGTCACGGCCAAACCCTGGGTAAGAATGAGGGCATCAGAGTCGGCTAAGCTCTTGATAGATAAGGGGCAGGGCCGAGTGGGTGGGTTGAAGGGGGTCCAGGTTCAAAGCTACATCAGACCCGCCCCCCAGGCTCCACCCTCATCCAGCTGCCCTCCCTGCCCCCTGAGTTCATGCACGCCGTCGCCCACCAGATCACTCATCAGGCCATGGTGGCAGCTGTTGCCTCCGCGGCCACAGGTAATGACCTGACAGGGGCGGCCTGGGAGGAGGGGCACGGTCCAAGGTGGCAGGTGCCATCGGCTGGTGGGCAGGAGCCCAGCCTTCAGCTGTCTCCGGTCTATCCCCTCTGTCATCCACAGGACAGCAAGTGCCAGGCTTTCCGACAGCTCCTACCCGGGTGGTGATTGCCCGGCCCACCCCTCCACAGGCTCGCCCTTCTCACCCGGGGGGCCCCCCAGTCTCTGGCACTCTGGTGAGTAGGTGGGGAAGGCTGAGAGAGAGACTCCTGCCCACTGGGTGGCAAGGGCAGGACTGATGTTACCCGCCCCCTCCCAGCAGGGTGCCGGGCTGGGCACCAATGCCTCCTTGGCCCAGATGGTGAGCGGTCTCGTAGGGCAGCTTCTCATGCAGCCTGTCCTTGTGGGTGAGTTTCCTTTGTCACTTCACCCTGAGGAGATGTCCATGGTCCTGTGGTTTGGGCCCTCCCTCCGTCCCTCCCTCCCTCCCTCTCTCCCTCCCTCCCTCCCTCCCTCCCTCCCCAGCGGGCCTGCTGGCACCCCAGGGCTCTCCTGGGGAGTGCTGTGTGTGTGTGTGTGTGTGCGCGCGCGCGCATTCCTGCTGGAAAGGCTGTGAATTGGGGGGTGTGGGGGCTGGGGTGGCATCTTGTTTTTTTGTTTTTTTTCATATTTCAACTTTCTCCCTTTGGGTCCCTACAGCTCAGGGGAGCCCAGGAATGGCTCCACCTCCAGCCCCTGCCACTGCCTCCGCCAGTGCCGGCACCACCAACACGGCCACCACCGCTGGCCCTGCCCCGGGCGGGCCTGCCCAGCCTCCACCCCCACAACCCTCCACAGCCGACCTTCAGCTGTCCCAGCTCCTGGGGAACCTCCTGGGACCAGCGGGGCCTGGGGCTGGAGGGCCTGGCATGGCGTCGTCCCCCACCATCACTGTGGCTATGCCTGGGGTTCCGGCCTTCCTCCAGGGCATGACTGACTTCTTGCAGGTGAGGGCCCAGCTAAGCCTGCCCCTCGGCCTTTCAGAGTCCAGTCAGGCAGTGGGCCTACGTTCTAGCTCAGGGGTTGGCAAACCGCCATAAGCTCTTTGGCTGCTTTGAAGTGAAATCGAACTGTGAAGGATCATGGCGATCTCGTTTGTCGAGGAGGACCTAGTTATGGCTCTCAAATCGTTTCAAGGTTGTCACGAGTGACAGGCCTGGCCGATCCTGGGCTAGCTCCATGGGGGGTAGAGTGGGAATGGATTCCTGGGTGTTCATTGGCACTCCCCCGCCTGCCCTGATTTGAGCAGAAAAGGAGGCTTGGAGAAACAAGAGTAAGTAGTTCCTGATCTGACGTTCAGAAAGGGAGAGGAGCTTGCTCAGCCTAAACCTCCCATGGACCCTGAGTAATTTTGCATGGTAAAGACCAGACCCTGACTCACTCCTTTCCCCGCAGTTGGTTGATGCGTATGTATGTCCGCCTGACACCGGTTGCCGCCCTTGTCCCTATTCTCACCTCGTCCGTTGTATCGCTTCTCTGCTTGCCAGGCAACCCAGACGGCCACGCCACCCCCACCGCCAACCCCTGCCCCGGAGCAGCAGACTTCTCCCCCTCCGGGGCCCCCTCCTGGAGGCGCGGGGAGCCCTGGAGGCCTGGGTCCCGAGAGCCTGCCCCCAGAGTTCTTTACCTCGGTGGTGCAGGGTGTGCTGAGCTCCCTGCTGGGCTCTTTGGGGGCGAGGGCCGGCAGCAGTGAGAGCATCGCAGCCTTCATACAGCGCCTCAGTGGTTCCAGCAACATCTTTGAGCCTGGGGCGGATGGGGCCCTCGGTGAGACCTGCTGGTCTTCTCTAGGGGGTGTGCCCAAGGCGGGTGAGGCCCGAAGGTGGCCAGGGCTCCCGCTAACTGCTGCCCTGCCCCCAGGATTCTTTGGGGCTCTGCTCTCGCTCCTGTGCCAGAACTTCTCCATGGTGGACGTGGTGATGCTGCTCCACGGACATTTCCAGCCCCTGCAGCGGCTCCAGCCCCAGCTGCGAGCCTTCTTCCACCAGCACTACCTGGGTGGCCAGGAACCCACACCTGGTAACATCCGGGTAAATGAAGGCCCTGGGTGCCAGAGCCCCCCCTCACTGCCCTCCTGACTGACTGCTGCTCTGTCAGCTAAAGCTGGACAGCCCAGCCCCACCCAGCGGGATGGTGGCGGGGAACTGTCTCAACTGGGGCCTGGGACTTACCCAATGTTGTTCTGGTAGACGGCAACCCACACGCTGATCAACGGGCTAGAAGAATACGTACGGGAGAGTTTTGTGAGTATTCCTGCCTTTGCCCCACCCCCACCCCCACCCCTTAGGGCGTCTGCTAGTTAGTACTCCCTTCTCGTTGCCTGATCTCTCAGCGTCCTGATTTGGGGGTCTTTGTGTGTCTTGTATCTCAGTCTCTGGTGGAGGTTCAGCCAGGCGTGGACATCATTCGGACAAACCTGGAATTTCTCCAAGAACAGTTTAATAGTATTGCTGCCCACGTGCTGCACTGCACAGGTCAGGGTGCCAGGCCCGGGCAGGGATGGGTTGGGGATGCTGGCGGGGCTAGCCTGCAGAGTCTACCCTCACCCCTCCTGGCTTGCCCACAGACAGTGGATTTGGAGCCCGGCTGCTGGAGTTGTGTAACCAGGGCCTGTTTGAATGCCTGGCCCTGAACCTGCACTGCTTGGGGGGACAGCAGATGGAGCTGGCCGCTGTTATCAATGGCCGAATTGTAAGCACGACCAAGCCCCGCTTCCCAGCCTTTAGTTTCCGTACGTCTCCGCTCTCTTCAGCATCCTGCGGTTTTCATTTTCCTCCTCCAAACTGCTGACCCTACCCGGGAGCTGGCGTTTAGAGGCTCATGGGGGTTTTGTTGATGGGACCGGCCTGTTTGCTTTCCCTCAGCGCCGCATGTCCCGTGGGGTGAATCCATCTTTGGTGAGCTGGCTGACCACAATGATGGGGCTGCGGCTTCAGGTGGTACTGGAACACATGCCTGTAGGCCCGGACGCCATCCTGAGATATGTCCGTAGAGTCGGTGACCCGCCCCAGGTAAGAAGGGACCTGATGTGTGGGGGCAGTGGGGTCAGAGGGCTTGAGGGAAGTAGAGGGACCCTAGTGCCTTTCCACTTCCACAGGCGCTTCCTGAGGAGCCGATGGAAGTACAGGGAGCAGAGAGAACGTCCCCTGAACCCCAGGTACCAGGGAGGTGTTGAGGGGCCCATCGCGTGGCGAGCAAGGGAAAGCTGACAGGACAGGAGCGGGGCGCGGATTCTGAAGGCGGGGGGTCTTTCTGCTTTCTCTCCCAGCGGGAGAACGCTTCCCCAGCCCCAGGAACAACAGCAGAAGAAGCCATGTCCCGAGGCCCACCCCCAGCTCCTGAGGGGGGCTCCCGAGATGAGCAGGATGGAGCTTCAGCTGACGCAGAACCTTGGGCAGCTGCAGTCCCCCCAGTAAGCACCACGAGGGAGGGTGACCTGGTGGTGGGTCGAGGCGTCTGAGTGGTGGGAACCCCTGCTGCCTCACCTCGCCTTGTTTGCCTCCCCAGGAATGGGTCCCTATAATCCAGCAGGACATTCAGAGCCAACGGAAGGTGAAACCGCAGCCGCCCCTGAGTGATGCCTACCTCAGCGGTATGCCTGCCAAGAGACGCAAGGTGGGTTTGCCTCTTCCCTGAAGAGCTCACGGTGTCTGCGTTTCCGTCATGTTTACACACAAACTGTTCAGAACTGAAGGCCCGCCACCTCCTTCAGTCCCCTTGATGAGAAACCCTTTCTGGGCCTCAGATTTAAGGTTCTTACCTCACCACACGGGGCTTGAGTCTGGCTTCTCCCACAGCAGGGGCCTAACCCACAGGTAACAGGGCCCGCGTTCTTGAAGGCAGGGTTCTCGTGTGGCTGCATTATCAAGCACTGATTCCTGGATGGCTTGGGTCCAACCCATCCCGTTATTTTGCAAAGCGAGTTCACACGTGATTGGGCCAAAGCCAAAAAGTATTAGGAAGGCCTTGCTGGCCGTCAACCCCCCCCCCCCCACACACACACACTCCATGGTGGATTCTTTGCCATGTTAGCATGGAGACAGTGGTTGATTCATGGAAAAGGGTGAGCTGGGTGGTGGCATTGGATCTGACTGGTGATCCTCTTTTCCCTCCCCAATTCCCTGTCCCCCCAGACGATGCAGGGTGAGGGCCCCCAGCTGCTTCTCTCAGAGGCCGTGAGCCGGGCAGCTAAGGCAGCCGGAGCTCGGCCCCTGACCAGCCCAGAGAGCCTGAGCCGGGACCTGGAGGCACCAGAGGTTCAGGAGAGCTACAGGCAGCAGGTGCCCCCATCTTGAAGCAGAATAGGGATGGTCTAGTGGGAGGGGTTGGGCTAGGGTCCCCTTTTCCACCCCTTAAGAGGAGCCCCTGTTGGTGGCACAGTGGGGTGTGCGCAGGCCTGGCAGTTGCAAGCCAGCTGCTGTGAGGGAGAGAGATGAGGCGCTCTCCTCCCGTTTAAGATGCAGTCTCGGAAACCCACGGACAGTTTTACTCTGCTCTGCTGTTCTGTAGGATTGCCGGGAGTCAGAATTGTCTCGGAGTTTGCATTTGTCTGAGATGAACTCGGCCTTGGGGTTGGGGCAGGGGTGGGGCTACCACTTGCTGTTGTTTTTCTTTTGGGGCTCTCAGTGTGTGGCTGGTTGGTGTTCCGTCCTGAGGGATGGCCTGTGTCCTGGGGACCAAAGGGCCTCACAGTCTGCTCGCGCTCTCTCTCTGTGTGTAGCTCCGGTCTGACATACAAAAGCGACTGCAGGAGGACCCCAACTACAGCCCCCAGCGCTTCCCCAATACCCACCGGGCCTTTGCCGATGATCCCTAGCTCTGCTCTGTGGCCCCACCTCATCAGGGGACCGTTTCCCCCCTTTTCCCTCACAGTATTTAAGAAATAAAAGTCGGATTTTCCTGGCTCCTTGGTCTAATTTTTTCCCCCCTTCTGATTGTATTTCATTAAGTGGTCCCAGCCCTTAAATATCCTGCATGAACTTTTAAAAAATACACCTTAGGAACCCAACCTCGTTGCTCAATGGTGGACATGCGTGGCTGCCAGCTAACGTGTTTTTTGATATAAAGGACCAGGCGACCTGGTCCCAGAGATGTCTAGACTCGGGGGCAGCTCTGTCCCTCACTGGAGATTCCAGAACCTACTTGATGGCACAAGACAGGAGCCCAACAATCGGCACTCAAGCGCGTCTGCGGGAAAGTTCCCCATCTTGGCTGTCCCGTAAACTGTGGGAACCCCTTCAGATGTACTGAGAGGTTTTGATTGCTGGGCTTCATTTCACGAACTCTACAGCAGAAGCACCTGGCTTGGGAGTAACGACCATCCTAAAGGCTCCGAGACACCGGCCCGTGTCCCTGCCGCTCTGAGTGGAGCTGAAGCCTCCGCCTCTTCATGCAAGGCTGGACCGACACCGTGGCTCTGCAGCCACCCCGACGTGGAGGAGCAGCGATGTGTGGTGGAAACCACCCTGCCGGCAACACCTGATGGCTGTTTAGCTGGCAAGATCCCAGGATTGTCCCCACGGTGCTGGGCACCCATCGCCTGGCCTCTCGTGTTGGCAGATGGAAGTGCCATTTGCCTGATTTTCCAACCCATGAGGTGGGTCAGGTGCAGTAAAATGCAGATTTAAATTTCAAGGCAGTTTGGAAGGAGCACAATGATTACTTGTTGGGCTGCTAACAGCTAGGTCAGCAGTTTGAAACCACCAGCTGCTCCTCAGGACAAAGACAGGGCTGGGCTTTCCCAACGAGTTCGTGTCAGGAATCGGAGTGGCAGTTCTACTGTCCTACAGGGTCACTTTGAGTCGACAAGGCCTCGATGGCAGCGGTTTCATGATGTAATAATGCAAGTGAAGAATCAACCCACCTATTCCCAAAATCATTTTAGAAATTTAATTTTTTTAATCCTTTTATTATTCTTTTTTAACAAACGGCCCCAGGGATAGGGGAGCAGGGGAAGGGGGAGGAGGGGAAGCGAGGCCCCAGCCCCACAGCCCCTCCCCACCCACCCCTTTCCCCCTTATATATTTATAATCTATATACAAGCCCCAGGGGCGAGGGGGTTAGGGGGAACTCCCCCCTCAGCGGGGTGGGGGCAACCCAGGGTCCTTGTCCCCTCGGGACCCAGGTTCCTCTGCCCGCCGAGAGGGCCCTTCTCGAGGTGGTGGCCCTGCCCGCTCCCAAGGCTTCGGCATCCAGCGCAGGGCATCCGGGGGGGAGGCCTGGAGGGGAGTGGCGGGACAAGGGGAAGTTAACTTTACCCTAGTGGGCACAGGAACGCAGGTGTTGAGTCCTGAATTCGGATGGAGGGTGGTTCGTTACCTGCTGGTAGAGGTCGAGGCGCTGGGTGCGGAAGACACTGCTGTAGGTGGAGGGCTGGGCCTTGAGACGGGCATTCAGGCCCGAGAAGGACCTAAGGGAGGAAGGAGGTTGACTGCAAGCCTGGATCTGGCCCCCTGGTTCCAAGACCCGTGCCGTCCTTGGCGGTGGTGTTGCCGTCTCTTACCTTCCGGCTGGGGGAGTCCGTGAAGACCCAGGCCCTCCAAGGCCGCTGTTCAGTTTTCGATAATCCTGGAACGGCTTCAGTTCCGCTGGGTGCAGCTACCACGAAAGGAAAGGAGAAACAAGCATGAGCCTCCTGCCATGTCTGTCAAACCAGGCTGCCCCAACTTGACTCTGATTTAGGGAAACTGTGCAAGGCCTGGCCCCTAGACCTCGGTTTGTTTACCTTACCTCTGCTCGCCCCAAGCTAGCAGGGAAGGGCCTGGCAGGTGAAGGCAGCACCCTAGTAGCAGGAGCAGGTGGAGGCCTCACAGCCAGGCTGGGGGGCTGCAAAGCTGGGCCCACAGGGAGGAGAGAGAGGGGCGGGGGGGCAGGAGGTGGTGCTGGTGGCAGAGAGCCGAAGTTCATCACAGGCAGCTGTGAGTCCAGCACAGGCAGAAGCACCTGCAAAGAGACATTGGCCGTGTGGGCTGGGGTGGGGGCGAGAGAGGAGGAGCACCAGCCACCAGTACAAGGTGGCTGAAGGGGAAGTGGGAACCAACAGGCACCTGCTGAGCAGGTGCCCCCGAGGGAAGGAAGCCATTTTGGCCACCAGGCTGCAGAGTAGTAGAATAAAAGTCCGAAGGGGATGGCAGATCCTGGCGTACCTGTTGGGCAACAAGAGACACATCAACTCCCCTATAAGCTTCCTCCTACCAGCTCTCTAACCCGAGTAGCATTTGCCCGCCCCTTACCTGCAGCAAGGGTGGGTCTGGCAGAGGGCTAGGGCAGAAAGCTGGAGAGTAGAGAAAGGAAGGGGGCGGATAGAGCACCCCTCCAGCCGGCAACTTCCCCAGTTCTGTGGCTTGCAATGCTGAGAAATCCAGAAACTGGCCCTTGAGGGCTACCCCAGAGAGCAATGCTGAGGGAGGGGCTGGGCCTGGGGGCAAGTACAGGGGCTGTGACCTGAAAAACAAGGGGGGGGGGGCGGTAGAGGGATGCTAGTCAGATGACAAAAACTTGGAAGGCAAGACCATTCCCACCCTTAGTCCAAGCGAGTGCTTGGTACACTAGATGCTCTGGGCCCCACAGCAGTCGCCTCAACCCAATGCCCCCAATCCAAATGTCTCCCGCTTCGTGGCAAGACCCACACCAGAGTCCTTTACCTGTAAGGGTGCAGTGAGGGGGTCCCAGGGCGGAAGCCCCCCTGGTTAGGATGTAACTGCGAGTCTGTGGCTCCCCCCGACACCTGTAAGAGAAGAGGCAGGCTGGAAGAGCACTAGCTTTTCTTGGGTGAAGAAAAGCTCAGCCTCCCCGAACTGCTGGAGGAAAGCATGGAGAAAAGTGAGGAACATAAGCAGACGGGGGAGAACGGTACTTCAAAAGCGGCCTAACTTGAAAAGGCAGCCGGGAGAAACAAACGACCCTGTTCAAAGTCCCACAGGGTGGAAGCAGGGCCTACCTGAGAACCAGGAGGCCCAGGGCTGCCGTAGAAGGCCTCAGGGTAGAGGCGCGGGCCTGAGGAGCCGGGCTCTGGGCCGCCACAGTGCCCAGAGCCCAGGGCTTTGGACCGTGGCTCTGCAGAGGCAGCAGTGCTGGGGCCCAGCTCCCAGTCTCGGGACAGGGGGACGGCCTGGGAAGGAGACGCCTAGTCAGGGTCCACGTCAGTCCCAGCATCCATGGGCTCCACGAGGCGGAGGCCTTGGCTGCAACCTGCATGCCCCTACCCACCTCAGCGGCTGACGCCGTCAGCTCCTCCTCTGCTTTTAAGCTGTCTCCCACCACCAGGCACAAGTCTGTGTCCTGCAGTCATGAGAATGGGGTGCAGGATATAGAGTTCCACGACTCACGACACATGTCCCGTGTCCAGCCTCTAGTCCTCCCCATTCTTCACCCAACCCCCAACATCCGCAGATCCAGCCTATGCATACCTTGTCACTGGTGCCAAACTGGACAGGGGGCCCAGGTCGCTGGGAGGGGCGGAGGGGACCAGGCTCAGGGCCTCGGTCAGCACGCAGTGATCGCTCTGTGCCAATAGGGCCAGGGGGCAGAGGATGCTCCCGGGGCAGCTCCTGGGTGGTGGAAGCCAGGGAGCGGAGTTAGGGGAGGGAGAGTGAAGCCAAAGTAAGGGCTCCCCCAGAAGAGGCGGGTACAGGGAAGCACACACAAGGGTCAACAGCCCGAATTTCCGGAAACAACCCCCTTCTTTTCTTGGTCTTTTACCTTTCTTTCCCCGTCGTGGGAGGCAGGTGGCCGTCTCCTGGGAGGCTCAGAGGGCTCAGAGCTAGGTGGACCCTCACCGGAAACTGCATTCAGGGGTGAGGGGCCTCCAGGCCGTTTGGGGGGCCCCTCTGCTGCCCCCTTGAGTCCTCCATCAGGGGAACTTCGCTGGCTGCAGGGACCTGATGACACCTGAGAATCCCCACTCAGGTCTACCCCACTGTCAGACTGACTCATCTGACAGAGAGGAGAAAGAGGAGGAGAGGTTCAGCCTGGGTGAAGAGCACTCACACCCGTCCTCCCGCATACAACACAGCAGCGGTTCTCCACCTTCCTCATGCCACGACCCTGTCACATAGTTCCTCATGTTGTGGTGACCCCCAAACTGTAAAATTATTTCCGTTGCTACTTCATAATTGTAATTTTGCTATTGTTATAAATTGGGCAAGCCCTGTGAAAGGGTTGTTTAACCCGTTGAAAGGGTCATTTGAGCCCCCCCAAGGGGTCGTGACCCACAGGTTGAGAATTGCTGCAGTAGACCACCTCAAGAGAGGGGGGGCCCCAGGAGAGGGCAGCCCCAGTCAGGCAGAGCAGAAGGCAGCCATTCCCTCTCAGGCGCACCCACCTCGGTGCCAGCTCCATCCTCAAAAGGGCTCAGGGGCTCCATCCAGGGCTCCACACCAGGGCGGTAACTCTTCCGACTGGTGGCTAGAGAGGAGCGAGTGAGCGAGCGAGGGAGGGAGAGCCCGCAGCCCACGTCACGCTCTGACCTCCCCACCTGGCTTTGCTCAGTTTCACTCACCGGTATGTAAACGATTCCAGACGTGAGGGGTCAAGGCCTCGGTGCTTGCATCTCTTGACTCTCCCCGAGGAGCTGGGCCCTCAAGCTTAGGGCCCAAGAATCCAGAGCTATGAGGTGGCGGCAAGGACTCCTACAGATTCAGAAAAGCCAGGGCAAACCAGGAAGTAGGTTAAAACTGGGACTTCTAGGTGCTGGGACGACAGCACAATGCGGGAACAAAAGAAGGGCCACGTGTGATGTCTGACAGCAAGTAGTTAGGAGAGGGAGAAAACCCACCCACTCACCCACCGAGTGTGCTGCAACCCAGAGACCCCGTAGGACATGGTACCACTGCCCCTGTGAGTTTCTGAGACTAACTCTTTACGGAAGCAGAAAGCCCCATCTTTCTCCCCTGGAGCAAGCTGGTGTTTTCAAACTGCAGACACCTCGAGGATTGCAGCACAATGCGTTAACCACTGCACCGCCGGGCTCGTTACAAGAGGGAGAGGAAAGGCCCCATCAGTTACAAAGCGAGGGCTCAGGCGGGAACAGTGACAGCAGGAAAGAGTGCGGAAACGGTAGCCAGGGGCCAGAGCGGTGACACGCCCCATCTCGGCCTCCGTCCTCACCTCCTGTATTAGCTCCGGTTTCCTGGGAGGCCGTTCTCGCCGTTTGGTAGGGAAAGGAGTAACCCCGGTAGGGTCTCGAGGAGTTCCATCCAACCCTCTCACCACTGGCCCTGGTTCCTCAAAGTGGGCTTCTGGGAAAATGAGTGTGTGTCAGCAACCGCCTTGCTCCACTTCCCGCCCTTGTATACCCGGCCAGACCCCCGGCTCCAGCACTCGGACAGACCTCCTCAACTTACCAGCACTGACTCCACCGCTGTTGGCCCTCTGGGGGTCATATTGGGTTGTGGGTCTTGGGGAAGAGCCCGGAGGGGCTTGGGGAGGCCCAGGCTTGGGCCTCGGGTGTCCCCCTGCAGCAGCAGCACTTCCTTGGCGGGTGCTGAGCTGGGCCAGAGCCTGCTGGATGCCAGCAGGGTTGCTGTGGATCACTTGGTCCAGACGGAAGACGGCTGAGCTGCTGGGGGGCGGGGGAGGCAAAGCAAGCCCAGGGGGTCGATCCTCAGGAGGACGGCTGAAGAGAAGAAAGCACCAGCTCCAGTATCCACCCAAATCACCCTGCCTCTCCACATCAAGCACCTAAGTCTCCCTCCTCCTTCCCTCCCAACCTGTCCCCTTTCTGCCAAGAGGTCAGACAGCTCTGTGGGTTCCCAGATGCACTGTGGACGGCAGGAGACAGGGCGTGGAGAAGATGGTCGTAATGCCAGTTAGGCCTTCCCTACTACTTAACCTAGGCACGAGCAGCTCACTGGTCCTTGGCACTCAAGCCCCTGCCCAATTACCAACCCCACCCTCTCCCCCCAACACCGGTTCCTCCCCTGCCCCAATTCTTCAACCCCTAAGAACTCTCTTAGCAGCCTCTTCCCCACCCACCTTCGGTTCTTAGGAGAGGGCCAGCTCCTCTTGTCCCCTCGTCCTGGGCCGGCCCTCCCCCCAGGGCCCCCGCCACCTCCTCCACCGCTGCTGCTGCCCGTCTTGCCCCCTGGGCCTGGACGCCGGTTCTGCCGCTCCATGCCTGGCCGCTGACTCGAAAAGCTACGCTTGCTCAAATCCTTGGCTCTCTGGCTCAGGTCTCCACGGGGCATGCTCCCAACACCAGGTCCAGCGCTGCCTCCACTGCCCCCAGGGGCTCCCACAGCCTTGGGGGTCAGCAGCACTGGTGGGGGAGCCTCCTTGTCCCGACGCTCACTAGCAAAGTCGCTGCTCTCCGACGCAGTCTCCCACTCCTCGTTAGCTTGGTCAGAGTTCTGGTTTGAGAGGTCAGGAGACTTGGCGGCAGCCCGGCGTGGCGGTGGCAGGGGTGCTGCTCCTGTGGCCAGGGTTTCTTCAGGCCCCGGTGCAGAGGTGGACGTGGGCAGGGGCCCCGCCTTGCCGTCAGCACCGCGGGCAGCGTTCTCGCGTTCCTGCTTCAGCCTCCGGAAACGAGGTGGCTTGTCCTGTTGCTGCGCCCTCCCATGCCGCCTCCGTCGGGGCCGCTCGCCATCTTCCACACCCATGCCCACACTGCCAGCGCCACCGCAGCCTCCCCGGGCCAGGGGGGACAGAGGCCCTGGGATGAGCTTCTCTTTCAAAGACTCCTTGCTTGGAAGCAAAGGGCCCATGGGAGGTTTTTTGGGGGCCAGGGGCTTGGTCTGTGGGCTCCAGCTCGCGCAAACAGCAGGTGGGGGCCGCCCACCCCCTCGGCCCCGGCGGGACGGCACTCCCCGGGGCGTGAAGACTCGCCCGCCGCGGGCCATGGAGAAACGAGCAGGGGCCGGTGAAAGGGGGGCCCCTGCTAGTTGAGGAGCAAGAGGGGGCTGGGTAAGGACCCCCTCTTTTGGCGGAGGGGCCTCCTTGTCTGAGGGGGCCAGGTCACTCTCGTGGGTCTCACTGCCCGTCTCAGAGCCCCGCTGGCGGCGCCTCTTGGGGATTTCGTCATACTCGGAGCCCTCGCTGCGGGTCTCGCTGGCAGTGCGGCCCCGGGGAGCAGCAGGGTGGCTTGGGCCCCCCACCCCGCCCCCTCGTCCATCGTCTCCGCGGAACTCTCGGTAACTGCGGAACTCCCGGCCCCGGGCCCCGCGTCCCCGCCCGCCGTAGGTCCCCCGGAAACCCCTGCCTCGGGCAAAGTACTCGCCCCGGCCCCTCCCGCGGCAGGCCGGGCCCACCCTTTCATAGGAGTGGTCGCGTCGGAGGCGAGGGGCAGGGGAAGTATTCCCGCTAGGCGGGGGCTCCTTGGGGCCTCCTCCCACCTTCCCCTTGGCCGCCTTGAGTGGGTCTGGCTTCGGGACTTTGGGGGTTTCGTCCCCCTGCTCGATGGGCTTGGGAGGCAGCTCTTCGGCCTTTGCAGGTGGTAGGGGCTTCTTTATCGGTCCCGCTCGGCGGGGCGGGCCCCCCGGCTCCTCGGCAGGGACTCCTCGACGACTGCTCCCCGGGCGAGGGCCCCATCGGGTCTCTGTGCGGCTCTCTCTCCGGGGCGCCGGGGCGCCTTGACTGCCTCCTCCAGCCCCACGGGAGGGCTTTCGGCCCACTTCTGGGCCTGTCATCGGTGCTGCTTCCTCCTTTGGGGGTTCCTTCTTGGGTGGGGGGGCTTGTATCTTGGTTGCCTCCTCACTGCCTGCGGGCCAAGGGAGCGGCCGGGGCCCCGGGGGAGCTGGCTCCTCCAGGGGGCAGCGGGGGATCATGGGCCCGGGGGCTCCATTCTCAGGGAAGCCTGGGTAGTTGGCCAGATAGGGTGGCGGGGGCGGTACCGGAGGAGTCTCACTCCTGAAGGAGAGAAAGAACGGCAGTAGTCACCCTGGGAGAGGGCGACGGAAGACGCCCCACCCCGGGGCCAGCTCACCATCCAGACTCACCTCAGGACTTTGTCCTCCTCGTCAGGAGGCTGGCGCAGAGGGGAGGTCAGTGGGCGGGGGTCTGTGGTAGGCGTGGTGGCAAAGACATCTCCTACCCAGGCCAACTTTGGATCCACTGGTGGGGTCCCCCGCTCCCGGAGGAGAGAAGGTGCATGGCGTTCAAACGGCTCTGAGCTTGAACCCCCACTATCTGAGCGCTCCCGGGGAACTAGGCCTTTGGGTGAAAAAACACAGGGAAAATGTCCGTAACCCTTTTCTGTACAGTACCTCTAGCCCGAAATGCATCACCCTGTCAGGCCAGATCCCCCGCCCCCCGACTCCTGCCCCCAACTAACAGAGTCCTGTCTGCTTTGTTACCCCAGAGTTATGCACTCGGCTTCCCTGAGAAGGCACCAGTCCCTGCAAACAGATCCGGGGCACTAAGCCCTGCCTTACACTCTGCCCCTTCAGCTCCTTCCCCTGATAAAGAGCCAGCTCAGTAGAGCTCAGCATATGCCCTCCCCACTTCACTGGCGGTCACAGCTCCCCAGAAAGACTCCATTCTATCTCACGGCCACGGGGGTTCTTCTTACTGGAGGGATGCACGCCAGGAGGGTAGAAGTCCAGAGGAGGCCGGCCCTGGAGGAGCCGGGGATCCACGTAGGGAGGAATCATCATCCAACGGGGATCAAAGTTCATGGGGGGCATGGGTGGGGGCCGGCCCAGAGCACTTGGGTACAAAGCCTTGGGGGGTGGGGGTGGGCCCTGCGGAGCGGTCCCAGCCCCCATGGTCACAGGCTGTGGTGGTGATGGGGGGACTGGTGCAGGCGGCACCGAGCCCTGTTGGTGCTGCTGCCACTGCTGCTGCTGCTGCTGCTGCTTCAGGAGCTGCTCCTGGAGAAGAACAAAGAGGAGATGGGAGGAGTGCTGCCGGCCCAACGAAGCTCTCAGAAGCAAAGGAAAAGCAAACCACAGGCGAACAGGACAAACTCTAAACGGACACAGCCAGGTAGGAGGGCCAGGAGGGAACGGGCAAAGGCAGGGAGCGGCAGTTCTTTGAAGGCAAGTCATAGGACTGACTCCACCTGCCCACCTGCTGCTGTCGCTGGAAGCGAGGAGGCAAGGACTTCTGATATTTGGGGTAGCCCAAACCCTGGCTGGGGGGCTGTCGGGCGGGGCCAGCCCCATCACCCGTGGGTTCCACCTTTGGGGCTGGTGGTGCAGCGGGAGGAGGAACTTCTTCTGGCGGTTCAGGACTCTCTTCTGAGGGCAACTGGGGCTCCACTGTATTGCAAGAAAGAACACACCCAGGTTGACCTAGTCTACCCCGTGACTCCCCGAGCAGCTCGGCTCTGACCTCTAGCTCCCGCCCTCTTGGAAGAGCAAAGAAGCAAAGCCCTGCTCCTAGTTCAAACCCATAAAAGCACTTCAAGGTCACTGAAGAGCCAACAGCGGTGGCAACAACTTCCTACAGAGCCACACACACAGTAACTCCAGGTGTTATCTGTGCCACCCAGACCCATGGAACCTCAGGGAACAGAACCTTTCTTCTCCAATACTCCAAGTGTGTGAATCACCATTAACACAAACAAGCAAACCAACAGAAGCCATCACCCAAACCCGACACCCTTGTCTTCATTTACTCCCAGTCCCTCAACCCCAGGAGGAGAGACCTGGCCCGTCCTCATCGCCGTACCTGGGCTGGCTTCAAAGCTGCCACTGCTGGTGCTACTGGTACTGCCACCACTGCTCACAAGGGTGGGGGCTGGAGCCACACCTAGAGTGGGGGCGGGCTGGGCAGGAGGGGCCTGTGCTGGCTCTGCAGGCTCTTTCTCTGGGGTTGGGACTGGTGCCGGCGCTGGAGCTGGAGGTGTCGGGGCTTCTTTGAGGACTACAGGTGGAGGGGGAGCGGGTGGGGCAGCAGGTTCAGCCTTGAGCCGTTTATCAGGGGCCCCAAACTTCTCATCCAGCCGCTTGAGCTTCTCAGCACAGGCTGCCCTGCGCTCCTCCTGCATGCGGCGCTCCTCCTCTTCGCGCCGCCGCCGTGCCCGCTCCACAGCCAGGGAGATCTCAGATGACGACTGCTTCCGCCGCTGCCGCCAAGCCTCATCCTCGTCTTCGGGTGCAGGGGGCTTGCAGGGAGGGCCCCCACGATCCTGTCAACAGGCAGGGCTATCAGTCATTTGTGTTCCCACCACTTTCCATACACCAATCAACCACCTACAGCTGCGGGATGCAAGGGCCGCCAGGCCTCCAGTTGGCCTTTCTGGGCAGGGCCAAACTCATGCCCTCCTCCATTCCTGTCCATCCTCTCACTAGCGCTCCTTTGTAGCTGGACGCTCTCAATGCCACACCCCACACCTTTGCAGAAAGGCTCCACAGCCCCCACCCTCCAGCTACCTCTATCACTACACGCCTCAACTATGCAGCTGCCAGGCACTACCCACAAGTGACCCTCCCAAACCCTCGTTGTAGACACTCACTGGGTAGTCCCCAGGGGGGCCCCAGTTCCCAGTGGGGCCCCTGTGAGGTGGGGGTGGGGGAAGCTTTGGGGCAGGAGGCCCCGGCTCTGTCTCTGGAGGCCGAGAGGTCTCTGCCCAGGCCGTCTTGGGAGGGGGCGGTTCGCTGCCGGGGGAGTTGCCCTTTTTGCCATCTGCTTCAGGGGGCCGTTCCTCACCAGCAACTGATTGGGATTCCTTGCTGTGAGCAAACCAACAGCGCCATTAAAAAGCATGTCCCCGAAGAACTGAGCACCCTCCTCTCCCCGTCTGGGCCTTACTCACTGGCCCTCAGCTCCCTCCTCATCGGAGTCTCGCCCGTCTTCCTCATCGCTGAATTTGAGCTTTTCAGTGTAGTCCACCTCCTCATGGGCCCCTGAAGGGAAGGAAAGGTAAACAACAGGAGCAGGTTTTCCCTTCTTCCCTTGGGTTATCTTCCTGGCCCAGGTGGTATGTAACTGCAGCGGGCAACGCTCACCAAAGCCAGCCCTCTCCCCCTTATTACTGCCCATCGCTTTGCCAGGCTTGGTTTTCCTTCAAGGCTCTCACCTGCCCTCTCTGGCACGTGCTCCCCACACCACCTCTACCCGCTGAGATCGACATTCCTGGCTCACAGCATCCACTCACCTGCCCAACCATCATCATTTTCCTGGTCCAACTGGTCAAACTCTTTAAGGTTATCCTCTTTAAGAATGGAAGGTCGGCCCACAGGTTCCACTAGGCGCATCGGCGGCCCGGAGCCCCGGGGGCCTGCCACACGAGGAAAACGGCTAGGGAAAGAAACGGGAACCATAGTGTTGAAAACACGCACTATGCGGCAATCTGTAGGAGTAGCCGCCCGGCGAGGAAACAGTCTTCCCTCAACAGGTCCCCCTGCCGGTAACCAATCCCAAATGCGGACGGCTCACCTGGGCCCATCAGGAGGAGGGTATCGGTAAGGCCCTTGGGGTCCATAGGGCGGAGGGAAAGGGAGGTATGGGGGATACATCTGCAAAGAGACCCAATAGCAGGTGCTCAGAGCCATCAGTCCAATCACATGCCAGCTCCCTAGGCCCCACACCATCTTTCCCACCCTCACTCTATCCCCGAAACGTCTATTTCCCCAATGTCCCCCTTGACTCCCCAAGGGCTAGGTCCTGGTCCCTACACTCCAGCTTCCAGATCAAACTCACGAAGGGCGGCATCATCCCGCGGCATGGAGGGAACTGGGGTGGGCCCGAAGGCTGCAGCGCCCCCCGGGGGTCATGGCCATGCTGGAGTTTGGAGTCTGGGCCCTCCAGCTCATCGGGGCCACGCCCACCTCCGTCCCTCCACGTGGTAGAGTCTGTAATGGAGAAAAGGAAGAGTGGAGAGACAGGTGGTTGCGGGCAAGTGAGCACAGCTGAGAAAGAGGAGTCTAGTGAACGAGGCCGCACCTGGCTCTGAAAGAGGCTAAGGGGGACACTCAGGCAAAAGTTAAGGGACCGGTTTAAACAGTCTGGACCTCCAAAGCAGGCCCTTACTTTGGGGGCGGAGGCTTGGTCCGGGCCCAGACAACTGTTCGGCAGACTCCCTTTCCTTGGCAGCCTTGTCCTGGTCTCCAGCCGCCTGAAGGGTCGGAAATTCCTCTCGAGAGAATCGTGACAGTAGGCTTGATGCCCTTCCACCTGTTGGGGTGCAGAACAGGCGAGGAGCATGTCTACTGAGGACAGGGACTGAACAGGCAAGTGAGGTACCAGGGTCCACCAGCAGCCTGCCTTCAAGCCCAGACCCCCCACCTTCATGATCTGAGGCTTTAAACATGTTCACGCGCCCAATAAAATGGAACATGGTATCCGAGACTTAGCCAACGTGATGTTAGGGCACAGCACCGAGGCTAGACCGCCAGGGCTCCTGCCCCCAGTGTCTAGACAAACCTTCCCAAGGAGACCCACACTCACCATCTCCGTGTGCTCCATGGGTGACGCTGGCTTGTGCCCAGGACTTTACCCCGCTTGGAACCGAAGGAGCGTTCTAGGAGGTGAAGATGAAACGAGTGGTGAGGCGAGCAGCACCGCGCCAAGCTCCTCCCAGGCTGCCTCCGACCACAGCCAGTCCTCAGGTACCTCGGGGGCTGCGGGGGGGCGTTTCGGCTGGCTGGAGGCAGGCGTCTGTGAAGCCGGCAGTGGCTGCGATTCCGGCGGCTGAGCGGTCGAGACATCGGAACTATGGGAATGGTAGGGCGGGAAGATTAACCAGAGACGGAGCAGTCTCCCCTACTCCATCAGGTGGAAGCGTGGGGACTGAGACCAGGCCCCTCCATTACCACTTAATATACCCTAGGACAAAACACTGTAACCGTGTCCCCCTCCATAGGCTGTCCTGCTTCTTCCTGCTTTCTCTCCATCTGTGACAGATCAGTCACGTAACAGAAGACCCAGGCCAGGGAGAGAAGGACCTCTCTGGTTCTCTTTTGGCTGCACTGGACACCAAGCCCCAACTCACCCTGAAGTTCCAAATTAAAATACCCATCACTCTAGGCACCCCAAGGTCCCGTCTACCTCTTGGGGTCGGACTGCTCCTGTTTGCTTGCCCATCCTGTCCCGTCTTTCGGCACTAGTGAGACGTTGGGGTCATTGCCTTTGTTCTCGGCTTTCAGGCTCGGAAGGTTGGCTGGGGGCGGCATGCGCCGGGCAATGGCAACTTTCCCAAGACTCTGCAGGCCATGGCGAGGGGCAACTGGAGAAAAGGCGGAGTGTGTCAAGAATGCCTCCCGCTGAGAATCTGACAGCCCCCCACCATGAGTCCTGTTCCCACATCCTCAAGGTCTTATAGCCCACTCACTCCAGCCTTCTAGGACAAGTCAGCCCTCCCCCCTACTTTTGACCATGCCTACCGGGAAGGCTGAGATGCAGTAGTCAGTGTGGGATGGGGGCGCTGGAGCCTGCGAGGAGCAAGCTGGCCCCAAACTTCTCCAAATCCACATTTCTTTGCCTCCAATTCTTACGTGTCCAAGGACAGGGAACCACAGACACGCCTTTGTAGGAGGACAGCTGGCATTCACCCAGAGCCCAGCACCCCCAAGGTAAAACTGGGGAGTCTCCAGTACTCCCCTGGGTCTTTCAGGATCTCTACTACAATCTTGTTTCCTTTCACAGAGTTCTACAACGGATGCCCCACTCATGCCTAGCAGACACCAGTAATTAGAAGCATCTTCGCAGGGCCCTCACCAGCGGGTTTCTGGGCCTCTAAGGACTTGCCCTTATACGTATCAAACAGGTTGAGCGAGGAATACTTCTTTCCATCCTTCCCCTTGGCAGTCGGCCCCGAGCGATCGGACATTGCGCTGGAAGCTCATTGAGTACGTTGGGTCCTGCAGGCACCTCCCCCAAAACGTGCCGGAGCCTGTGAGTCAGACAAGAGTACTTCAGTCTCTACCTGCTCAAAGGATTCCAACAGAACCCTAAGTAGCGCCCTCTCACCCCCAGTGCTGGCGCAGACAGGTGGGCTCATTGGTGCTCGCTCCTGCTACTTCAAACTCCCCAGGCCCTTCATGCAACCTCGACCTGCTGGGCTTCCACATAGTTCAAATGCCATGTTCTCTCTTCCCCAGAGACCTCTTGCCAAGGAAACCCAAGAAAAACCCAGTGTCCTCCCAGCATACTCTCTCCACTTTGTGCCAGGCCACGAAGGGCAACAACCTCTGCATTGTCCCCACAAGTAGTATATAATCTAGCTTCGCTCTCGCCACCAAAAAGCCCTTCCCGGACACACGATAAATCAGGACCAGCCAAGTCCTAAGCCCCAGAGAAAACACGAGGCACACAACTCCATCAACTAAAGCCGTGAACTTTTAATCCCAGATTTATTTATGAGACACCAACTGCCGACACCAGGCAGCTTCCAGTCACAACTGGGGAGGCCTGCAGGCAGGGAAGGTGAGAGCTGGACAGAGAAACCCCTGGGGTGTTTTTTTTTTTGCACACTCCTAGCTCCAGAACCCCAAGGCATTTGGAACACTAATTCCTCCCCAGCCCCTAAACGTGCCCCATCCCAGGCCCTGGAGAAATCCGGTCCCAGATGAAACACGGGCTTAGCTCCTGTCGGGCTGGCACAAACAAAAGCCGTCACAAAGTCACCTCCACCCGCCACCCCGCCCGGGTGCACGCTGTGGGCACGGGCCACAGGCACGCCGAGAGGCCCCTTTGCTTTCCCAAGCCAGGTCCTTCGGTTTGCTGTCCTGCTGCGGTCCAGTGTGGAGGGAACACGCATTAGTGTGCGGGCCTGGGGGCCATCTAAAGAGAAGGTAAGTGGGGAGAGGGGAATCCAGGAAACCCGAGGCAAGCAAGGGAAAAGGCTAAGAACCACAAAAAAGGAGTGGACTCCAGGTCAGGGAGAGCAGAGGGTGCACGCTTTGGAGGTGTGGGTGGAGGCCGGCCTGTGAAAACAACACCCGCGAGAACAGGCGGGCAGAGGGACCGCGGGGTGAAGGGGCACGGGGAGCAGACGGAAGATGGGGCGCCCGGTGGGGGGCTGGGGGGCGATAAGGAGGCGGCATAGGGACAGCGGAAAGGTCGAGAGGAAACTGAGGAATGCAGAAAGCAAGAGGGGGGATGATACAAGCCGAGGGAGAGCGACTGCAGGGCAAGTGGGGCGTCAAGGAGCCTGCTGATGGGAGGGGGGGGTCCAATATGGAGGACGGGGGGCTGTCGGGGAAGAGGGCTCACGGGGCGGCGGCCGGCTCGGGGGCCCACCGAAGGGAGTGAGGGGCCTGGAGCCCGGCAGAGGGTGGGGAGGACGAGCCCAGGCCTGGGGTCGCCCCGTGAAGCCAGGAAAACGAGTGGAAAGGG